GTAGAAAAGATTTTTAAAATTCACCTATTCCATTGTATTGAATGAATGAATGAATGAATGAATGATGCATTTATATAGCGCCTTATTGTGTATTGTGGTACACCCAAAGCGCTTTACAATCATGTGGGGGGGATCTCTCCTCAACCACCACCAGTGTGCAGCATCCACCTGGATGATGCGATGGCAGCCATAGTACAACGGCGCCAGTGCGCTCACCACACACCAGCTACAGGTGGTTGTTATTGGGGGAAGTCGTGGCCTAATGGTTAGAGAGTCGGACTCGTAACCCAAAGGTTGCGGGTTCGAGTCTCGTACCGGCAGGGATTGTAGGTGGGGGGGGTGAATGTACAGCGCTATCTCCCACCTTCAATACCACGACTGAGGTGCCCTTGAGCATGGCACCGAACCCCCAACTGCTCCCCGGGCGACGCACTGCTCCAGGTGTGTGTTCACGGTGTGTGTGTGCACTTTGGATGGGATAAATGCAGAGCACTAATTCAGAGTATGGGTCACCATACTTGGCCACATGTCACGTCACTTGTGTATTATTAATGTACTGAGAACGTAAGAATGTCATGTACACTCACAACAGGATAAAAACTTGAATTTTACCATAAGACATGCTGATCAACCAGAGAGAAACTTATAATCTACCATTACCATCACTCTGTTAAAGACAGCACAGTGTGTATTAATGGACCTGCTTCTGGCATTGAAGAAAACAGTGTGTGTTAATAAGGAAGCAAGGCAGCACACTCATGAGATCCAGAGAAAGCCCTTATCTCCCATCAGACAGGGAGTTTCAGCATGCATGAGTAAGCAGTCAGGGAATATGATTCTTATTCACTGCAAAGAAATCATTTTCTTAATCAGTATTTGTGCCTCAAAACTAAATAACAAACACAGTTTTGCTTCTCAAGTAAATTTCTCTTGTTTTAGGGATGTTTAGGAGGATTTTTACTAGAAGACAAGACAAAAATACTGATGAGAAAATGTTTGGACATTCGAAATCTTATATTGAGGCAAAAAGACCACCTTCTAGCACAGGGCTGTCCAAACTTGGTCCTGGAGGGCCGGTGTCCTGCAGAGTTTAGCTCCAACTTGCCTCAACACACCTGACTGGAAGCTTCTATGCCTAGTAAGAGCTTGATTAGCTGGTTCAGGTGTGTTTAATTAGGGTTGGAGCTAAACTCTGCAGGACACCGGCCCTCCAGGACCGAGTTTGGACACCCCTGTCTAGCACCATCACTACACGGTTCCTAGCACAACATTTTTTTTTTATCAGAGTTTGTGAGTTAAAAATTATATTTTCTGTGAAATCAGTTGACTTTTAAATGGAAATGAACCAGATTTGAATCTGAACCTTAATATACAGGTGCATCTCAATAAATTAGAATGTTGTGGAAAAGTTCACAATTTGAGTTGAATTACTGAAATAAATGAACTTTTCCACGACATTCTAATTTATTGAGATGCACCTGTAAATAATTTGATTTTGTTTGGTTTACTGTAGTAAACAGAAGAAACTAGTGATAAGTTTATGGTATGATACAACTAAAAGATTTTTAATTAATAATTATATTGTTTATTTTAGTCAAACCGCACAGGACCAAGCACCAAGAATCCATAACTTCATTTAAAAGAAACATTTTTTTAAGCAAAACAAAAATTAAGAAAGGGATCACAGAACCAACCAATCTGAAAGGAAACGGTCATTTTGAAGGCAAAACAAGCCACAATACACCCCAGCATCCCCACCTCAGCTCCAGCTCTGTGATGAAGAGTAAATCCTACGCTGAGAGATCCAGACTTCCCGTCATTCCACTCCCGTTCTCCCCAGTCCTCTCTCTCTGCACGTTGCCTTGAAGACCCCACCCACTTCTCTCTCCAACCAAACTGAAATGCACTTATCTCAGCAGACCAAGAGCAGCCAACGCCCAATCAGACCCGTCGGTTGCGTCACCGGGGCAACGCTCTGCTCCGTCTGAAGAGAATTCTCTAAGCAACACTGATGGATACAGGATCTATTACCTCTGTGAGGCCTTGCTGCTCCACTGGGAGAGTGATGTGACGAGTTGAGGAGCTGGGGAGCTTGCGTTTCAGGCTTGACATAAACAGCCTGAGGAAGCCCTCCTCTTGAAGATCTTTCATGATAGAACAATGGTCATGCTGCACATCACAGCCTAGAAAACAAGCTCTTCTTAACTCCTCCCCGTCACTTCTGATGTGCTGCTCGTGGTCGGGTAGCCATGTTTCTTTATTCCAGACTCAGCTTTATTCCGTGTGTAGTGCTATCCAGGTCATAAGCCTGGGGGTTTAGCGGAGCTCTGGATTGTCTTGTCTAGTTCAGTCAACAAGCTTGTGAAGATCAGAACAGCGGAGAGACTGACTGCTGGATTTGTTCAATCAGATCAGTGTTCCATTGATTAAACCTGCAATGCTTCTCAGTTCTCACTCTTAGTGAATCACTTAACAGCAATCCGAATGACATGAAGAGGCTATCAGTGGCCAGAAAGTGTCTTATTACAACTCAAGTCCTGTTCTAGAATAGAATATAATAGAATAGAATATGACTGAAAATAATTAATCATGACAGAATAGAATAAAATAGAACACGAGGGGACAGATCTAGACAGACTGGAATAGAATAGAATATTCCTATCCTAAAAACTGTGAGAAAGAACAAAATTGAATATGACAAGAATTATTAGAATATGGCAGAATAGAATTAAAGAGAAAGGAATAGATCTAGACCGGACAGGAAGAATAGACTAGACTAGTCCTGTCCTAAAAAAGCAAAATGGAATAGAATAGAATATGACCGGAATGAAAAGAATATGGCAGAACAGAAAAGAAGAACAGATCTAAACCAGACAGGAAAGAATAAAATAGTCCTGAAAACTGACAATATGACAAGAATTAATAGAATATGGCAGAATAGGATAGAAAAGAAGAGAAGAAAATAGATCTGAACCAGACAGGAGAGAATAGAATAGTCCTGAAAATGGACAAAATGACCGTAATTAATAGAATATGGTAGAATATTCCTGTCATAAGGACTGCAAAATAGAATTGAATACAACAGAGTAGACTACAATATGAAAGATAGAATAGAATATGACAGGAATAAATAGAACATGAAAATAGAATAGACCGGTCTTAAAACGCAAAATTGAGTAAAAAAAGAATATGGCAGGAATGAATAGAAAAGTCAGAAATGAATAGAGTAAAATAGAATAGAAATTTTACATTAGCATTGATCTTTCATGTAAATCCAATCTAAGTGAAACAGTGCAGGAGGGTGAGGTCATCTGCTGTCTAACTGGATTTATAATATGAAATAGATGTTCAGTCTGCTTCAAGGTTTCATTATGCACCGTCACTACATATGTTTCAGTACTACATAGCCTCTCGACTGTTGTGAGGAACACAAAATAAACGCACAGCAATATTTAGCTACAGGTGGAAATAGCAGCAGGGAATATGCCATCAGAGACTGAAAAATCTCTGGATCAAGACAATAACCATGTGACCAGAGGCGGACAAAGTACTCAACTCCATTACTTGAGTGAAAGTACAGATACTGCTGGTCAAATATTACTCCATTACAAGTAAAAGTTGTAAAGACAGATTTTTACTTAAGTAAAAGTACAGAAGTACTTGCTTTTAAAAGTACTTAAGTACCAAAAGTTAATTTGCTTATTTATGTCAATGCACTGTTTTATTGCTGTACGTAATACTTGCAATACTTCTGAAGCAACGTACAATACATTACACCTACTGAATACACTGACTAGCTTGTAGTATCTTTGGAATAAAGAGCTTTTAGAATGTTAAAAGCTTATGGGGTCAAGTAAATGTACTTAGTTACTGTCCGCCTCTGCATGTGACTCTTTGCTCCTTACATGATCTTACAGCCTTTTATATGATGATGAGAAAGTCTTTTCACTGCCACCATCAATGCTGTCACTTCAGAGTGTGTGATCATGAGGACATGTTTTTTTTTTTTCGTCTGCAGTCAATCCTTTGATAAATATTTCTACAAATATGAATCAGAGCTTCTGGTATTAGTCAAACACTTGTAATTTCCCACTAGTAAAAAAGAAAACCAAGTATACTTTTAAAAGTCTATAGAAGTCTATAATAATAATAATAAAAATAGTAATAATTATTATTATTATCATCACTTTTATTGTCATCATTATTATTATGGTATATTTAATTTATTTGCCCTTATCATAAAAACAAGTGTTCCTCAAAGAAAAAACTGCAGGACTAAAGGAAGCAGTAGCTTCCCGTTGCTTTTTTACAGGCAAACACTGAAGCAGCGGTGACGAGTCTTGCCACCAATGAGAATGTTGCTGTTTTCCTTTCGTTTTTTTTTCTTCTTTTCTCTGTTTTACTCCGTGCTATTTCGGGCCGCTAGAAGGGCGCAAGTAAAAAGTAATTCGCTAATAAATCAAACAAAAACGTTTATATATGTGCGAAATTTCATTGAATCATAATACAATTTGTTTAAACGCAAACTGCGTAAATATAGTTAATTATATGACTCGAGTCATGAATAATAGCAGTTAAAGGAAGGCCTATACAGAACACATTATTTTTTTAAGGTCTCAAGATTTTGTTGAAGGTTACGTGGCCTAAGGACACATTTTATTTTCTATTCGGGCCTTTTAAATCCAGATTCGACATTTTCAAATAAAGCTATAATTGTCCTCTAGACTAGAGATCGCGAGACTCTTCGGTGTATGTAGAAGGACAAGTGTCTGATGATGCCTCTGTATACCACAACCTCTACTGATGCTTATGATCGATTACGGCAAAATATTAACAAATACATCCATCAATAGCCTACACCAATAGGTAAGGTAGCCTACATCAAACAACAGCGAACGATGACCGCGAATCCGTACACATCTATAAATGTAACATATCCTGCACATTTCCCACTGCATCCCAGCTATGTGTTGAGAAATAAACATGTCGCGTAATCGTACCTGAGACTGTAAAACAGCGGTTTATTCTGTCCTTTCCGTCCGGAGATGCAGAAATTCAAAGGTCTCTCAAACACTCACTCAATATCATTGCGTGGATTACGCGTTCATATGCCTGTGCCACAGTGGCCGTGTCTCAAACACCAGTGAGCTGCCTACCTAGACCGCATGTTTGGGCGTCATAGTCGCTTTCGGCGTCAGCTGACTCGGAACGCATTAATAATCCCAAAAATGCGGTCTATAGTTTTTGAGATAACCACTGTGGAGCAAAATATGAAAAAATGTAAAAACATCTTTTACAATAAATAGCCATCCAGTCAGAGAAATTAAGTGTAAAACAGCTGCAATGAACTCAAGATGGGACCGTCCTGTTCCTCTTTCCTCCCTACGATGCGAACTTTTTAATTTTTTTAGCAGGGCATGCAATATTGCTGGAACTGATAAGGATATGTGCAATATTTTATCCTGACGTTAACCCCGGCAAATAATACAAAACCTTAAATTTAGATTCTACTGCGATTATTAATTAGAAAGAGCTAGGATACAATTTCTTGATCTAAATAAGTCAAGGTATTTGAAAAAGCCATTTTAAAAATAAATAAACAACCAACAAATCAACAAAAAGTATAGCGTATGTACATGAAGGCTTTAATCAGAAAGTTACCACTAGAGGGCGCAGAAAGGGGGAACTATGACGTCACTTTGTAGGCAAAAACCCGGAAGCGAGTTAGCATTTTAGCACCTCCGGTTCCATCATTCCAGAGTCGATAGGTTTTTTGAATGGGAGTTTGATTAAATCCCCTAAAATTAAGGTCCGTGGTTAACACAAGCTCGAAATATTTTCATGTTTTATTCTACGACATAAAACACACCAGTTGCACCCCACTCGTGATTTTTTTAAACTTATGTTTCTTGAAAAAGACGGTTGCTCACAAGTTGCTAAATGGGACTACATGCATTGTAGGAGACATTCAACGTCATCATGCCGAACAGTTGATAAATTTATAGTATTTTCCAGTTATAATTAGTGCAATTAAATGTAGAATAACCAATTAATAATTTCCCGCATTTTATATTGTTGTTCGACAATGTTTTTGCTTTGCCTCAAAATGCAACCACAAGCCTTCGGATGGAAGATACGCATTTTATCGCTTGTTTCTGATGTGGAGACTCTGGGTTTCTACCATAAGGTAAACTCATTATTCCATGGGGCAAATTTTGCTTTAAAAAGCATCGCAAGATCTTACAGCCTTAACAACCTAAAGACCTAAAAAAGACCTAACCGAAGATCACACGATCACACACGGAAATCACTTCTGTGAAGTGACCATCGAATGTTCCCTTCACTAATGGACTTCTGGAAGGGCCCTTCGTGAAGGGATTCAGTTGTTCACTTTCGTTTGGAACGTCCCTACAAATGGCGTCCTCTTTAATTAATTAATTTGAGATTCATTAACTAAAATAAATGTAATCTTACCATATCCAAAAACTTGCTCACTCTGCTGTTATTTAATAGATTAAAGGCACTAGGATTTTATTGAATACTACGTGGAGACACGTTTTTAATTAAAATATTCATATTAATCAAGGATTTATTGACTTTTAATGCACCTTATTTCGAAATGTACATAAATACATGCTTTCATATGTGCTTTGGTTATGATTATTTCATTTATTCACTACTTACTACACTGAAAAAAATGTTTCATTCATCCAATTAAAAAAATTTTAGGGTAATGATTCACATCTATATTTTTTAACTTGAGCCAATGAAAAATATATTTTTTTAATTGGATGAATGAAACATTTTTTTCAGTGTATTAATTTGTTTCATTTCAGTTTTAGTTTGGCTCTAGTTTTGTATTTATTCCAGTTTTTATATGAAAAAGGTTCATGTAACCTGGATTAAAATTCATCCACAGAGTAAATCCTTTTCACTGAACACGCTTCTAAAAATAAGTTTGAAAAGGTTGTCGGAAGCGTGGGAGAGCGACTGCGTTCTAAGTTTAGCTTTTTAGTTCTGGCGCTGGTATTTAGGCTTCAAAATTCATAAAAGTTGTATTATTTTGTGAAGATTATCTCGATGGACAAAACGTGTAAATGTCGTGAACTATGGTTGAACACAGGTTTTTTTTTTTTTTTTTACGTTAATCCAAAAGCCTATTTTTGTCGAGGGAACAGTGCGATGCTAACAGCCGATTGGCCTACAAAGTGACGTCATAGGTCCCCCCCCCCAACTCAGTTTAGACAGCTACATTACATTTTCTATGAATATTTTGTTATTTTACATTAATTCTACTACACTAATAACTCGAATTATTTTAACTGCTTAACACATGACTAACCATTTTAGAGGGCCAGGCTCTAGTATTCCACGATTACATTTTAACATTAACGTTAATCCTTCACAACTTTTCCCCCTATCATTACACCTCTAAATAAGATAAAACATATTTAACTGGATAAGAAAAAATATACTTAAAAAATAACCCAACGAGATCTGTAAGAGTGGTCATGTGGTCGCGTTTCATTTTATATTCTATCATATAAATGCATTTTCTTTTAATTATTTTACATTATTTTATTTCCCCCCCTCATAATTCTTAAATTCAATATCTTATCTGAACAGCAGACTGAAAACAACAAAACGCATTTAAATCACATGACCTGTCGTCAGGACGTGCTCGTAGCTCATCCGGGTCAAAAGGCGTCAGCATGGACACGGGGGATGTTCTTGCATCTCTGGTAGGCAAAATTAGTAATTTTAATTTATCAAGACACACAAAGCACTGTACAATAACGTGATAGGCAAAAAAAAAAA